ACATCCTCAAGAGATGGAAAAATCTTATGAATCAATTTTCAAGACTCATGCGTATTGGTAATTTTATAATAACTGTCAATCATTTGATTATAATGTATAAAAAATTTGACAAGGCATTACATGGAATAGTACAAAGTGATTTGGATGTAACTGATTTTATGAACTATGACTGTTTATACAAAATTACAAGTGAACGTGTTTTGGATCTCCTTCGGACTATGGAAAATACACAAGGAACGGTTTTATATTTGGAGTTGATTCAGTGTGGTTTAAAATCATTTGTGGAGCATGATACACCGATTTTTGAGCGTTTATTTAATGCCGTATAGATGGTTAGTTTCTCAAGACTATGGAAGACAGATATCATTAACAAAGGAATGCAAAGTGAAAGTTCGCTCAAGCTGCTACGAAGGACTCGAAATGAATTTATTATGGCTTTTACGATTGGTTATTGACAAACGAGCTCACAACATATCTGACATGTCGCTCTTTAACTGGTGTTCAAAGTACACAAATTAACTGCATACCTAAAATATTCCTATCTCGTTTACACAAAATAGAACTGTGTGAGCTAAAGGATGAAATTTCATTTCCCGTTATTGAGCAACGTTAAGAGAGACACAGATGAGCCAATGATGACATTTCGAAGGAAATTGATATTAACATCGAGAGTGGAATCTTCGCAGCTATTGAAAAGGCAAGAGAAATTGGAATTTGTCATCAAGAAACTTCTTTAAGAGATTTGTTAAAGTCTTCTAGAAGACGCAATATATGTGAGAATGTTCAGTCTCGAACACACTTTGTTGCCAACCGGACTATTTCTGAATGGGATAATGAAGAACCCGAGTTGATCGATGAAACCCTTTCTTTTCAAAATTTCGAGTTTTTAAGTACAAGATCTGACGATAGATATATTTCAATTAAAGAGGGTAATTCTACTAAAATCATGAAAAAAGATCAATTAATTTGGATGCTAGAAAATAACAAAATTCATGTTAACACCGATATCCGAATGATACAAAATCAAAACGAAGACTTTTGGATAGCCACTAAAGATGCAAAAGGTGACAATATTTTAATGTTTGATGAAGGAAATATACTCTTTGGAAAAGTTTTAAACTTTAAACGTCTTCATATTCGGTCGAAAAGTAAATCAACTTACTATTAAGATTTTGTAGAAATTGAACATTGTGACAACATTGCTGCAATGCTGAATCCTTTATATTTCATTGAGAATGGACGGAGAGTTGTAATGGACATTGTTAAATTTTTTGAGTTTAAACTACAAGTGTCATGTAAATTTTAATGTAGATTTTTCGCAGCAACACATAGCTAGTTTCATTAATTCTTTTGAAGATGAGTAAAATTTAAATAAAATTTAAATAAAATTTTTTTACAAAGTTTTTGTTCTTTACATTTGCCTTAAATTCATTTTTTTTATAATATTTGTACATTTACCGTGTTTAACCACATTTCACCGTGTTTCACCGCATTTAACCGCTTTTCACCATATTTAACCGCTTTTAACCACAAGTTCTTTCCCCTTGACTACACCATAGAAAATCAATTTTCAATTTTGGACTAGGGGCGACCCTAGTCAAAATCAATTTTTTCACTTTTTTCTTCGAGGGTTTATCCAAATGAATTGAAACTTTGCATAAATAGTCTAGTGCTTAAAACAAATACAAGTAAAACATCCTAAATTTTTTTGACCAAAGAACCAAGTAGAAAATACATTTTTAATTATGAACTAGGGACAGGCCTAGTCAAAATCTAGTTTTTCACTTTTTTTCTTCGAGGATAAATCCAAATACAGTGAAACTTTGTATGAGTATACTAATATTTATGCAAAACAGTTTTAAATATCTAAAACAAGAAATCTATTCTATATGTCGTCAGACCCAAATTTTATAAATTTGGTTGTACATTCAAAAACAACGGAACTTCAAATTTTGTCATTTGTACGAGTAAAATTATTTTTATGAATTTAGAAATGTGTTACCTGTTTCAATTCATTTGGATAAACCCTCGAAGAAAAAAGTGAAAAAATTGATTTTGACTAGGGTCGCCCCTAGTCCAAAATTGAAAATTGATTTTCTATGGTGTACTTTGGTCAAACAAATTTTTTGGATGTTTTATTTGAATTAATAATTACCAATATTATTTTTTGGACTACATAGCTTAAAAAAAATCGAAAGCTAAAATTTCGACTACCCCACCTGAATTTTGTTCATACTCTTCACTGTGGAAACGAAAAAAATTTCTTTATCTTAAAACACTTGACAAAATAGCGACATAATTCAGGATTAATTACTTTTTAATAATATTTTAACATTTACGAGAAAATGTGGTTCAAATAAGTGTGAAGTATGGCCGAGATTTGGACCAAAATCAGCTATACTGGTTCATAGTGTTCCCGAGGGTGACAAAATTCAAACTAAGTGTTTTTGTAGCTGACATAATTATAACATAAATTAGGTATAACTTTTGAACTGTGTCGATATGGGTCTCGGCCGTACTTCCCACTAGGAAAGTTTTTGTGATAAAGTTGGTTTATCAGTAAATCTAGCCAATACAATTGTAATTCCTTTCACTACGAAGTATAAATTAAGTGAGCTCCGTCCTCCAGTTATGTATGGTCAGAGGATAGAATTCAGTTATGAAGCAGAGTATCTTGGTGTCTACTTAGACAGCAAATTAAACTGGAATTTGCATGTAGATTTCGTTGTAAGTAACGTGATTTAGTCCTTTTGTTGGTAACAACTGGGGATTAAAACCCAATATGATGTATTGGCTGTATGAGCAAGTCATTCTACCAAGAATTATGTATGCATGTGTTGTTTGGTGGCATAAAATGAAACAAATTTATGCCTCTCAGTAAATTGAGAAACTGCAAAGAGTAGCAGAATTGGCGATTTGTGGTGCTTGGAAAAACTGGCTTTGGATAGATTTCTTGAGCTTCCCCCACTTCGAGTGAGAATTGAAGCTGCAGCTCAAACAAGTGCATTCAAATTGAAGGTAAATAAATTATGGGCTAATGACTGGATTTCTACAGGTCATATGGAATTAAATCGATTTCTAAGGAGTGTAAGTTTATTTACCTTAGAATCGGATAGTGTCATATAGTGTCAAAATACGTTTTTGACAAACCTTTTAAGGTAGTTGTATCAGAAGATAATGCTGCTGAATCTTGTGATTTGGTGGATAATAACTGATATTTTATTTACACAAACAGTGTTTACTGATGCATCAAAGTCAGAAAGGGGTGTTGGCATTGGTTTGTTCAGCAATAATCTGAGTTAAAATTCATCCTACAAACTGCAAGATCATGCTTCTGTCTTTCAGGCAGAAGTTCAAGCTATTTGTGAGGGTGCTAATTACTGTTTGGATATGGATTTGAAAGGCTGTAGAATTTGCATATTGTCGATCAGCTTTGACGGCTTTAAACAATTGTGTTGTAAAGTCTTTAACAGTTCTTGATTGTATTTCTTGTTTAACCGCATTGGGGCAAGATAATGAAGTCTTCCTAAAATAGATACCTGGACACAGTGGTATTGAAGGTAATGAAACAGCTGATCAATTAGCTAAAGAAGCAGTACACAACGAAGCTTATGAAAAGTCGACGTACTATGGTTTTGGCTTGTTTAAGTCAAACATACGAGAATGGATGGAGAGATAGCATTTTCGTTTCTGGAATTTAGAGGAAGGAGCCATGACAGCCAAAAAACTTCTTGGTCCTAAAAATAAGAATAAAATATCGGATGCTCTCAGACTACCAAGGAAAGACCTTAGCATCTTAATTGGTGCTTTGACAGGACACATGAGTATCAACAGTTTTCTTTTTTTAAGGTTGAATTTGTCCAATAATAAGTCTTGCAGGTTTTGTAATGTGAATCAAGAAACAATCATTCATGTACTTTGTAAATGTAGGTCATTACGAGGACAACGTGCCAAGCATTTTGATGAGGTCTATTTGAATGATGAGTATATAAATAAGCAGCATTTTTAGGATATTATTGGCTTTATTAAGGACATTGGAATTCTAGCATAAGGAACTTGGGATGGTACAACAGATCATCGATCGCAGTGCCGCTTTTGGTATCAGCAAAACCCTACATTACATTCTATTCTATATGATCGAAACTAGAACATCCCAAAGCTATCATCTATAGTCTATACTCATACTTAGAACATTTTTGGACTCTGCTTTTTTCCTAAATGGGTAATTTCGAACATATTCAAATACGGTTGCTCTCTTTCGTGAGAGCAATGAGGAAACAAATGATAATCTCTCGGGAGAAAAAAAGAGCTATTTATTTATACAAATGATCATATACTTTTCAGATTTTGACTAACAAAGAAGTGTTGCTGAAAGTTTTTAAATACTTATAATTTTTTTCTTCTTTTTTTTGTCAAATTAGGTCAGAAAATTTAATTTAAAATAATTTAAAGATTCATATCGGAGAAAATATAATAACTTTACATGGCAATGAAATTAAAAAAATAAAAACTAAAATGAAATGAATATACAGTTCGTAAAGAAATAAAGTGAATTAAAAAAAAAACATCTATTAATTAAATTACTATAAAAATTACGAAAAAAAGAAAAATTTGAGTTTTTTACTTGACTACTGATCTAAAGCTCTACGAATACTATTTGTAAACAAAATTATAGCCTCTAATAAGATATATTTTGAATGTTTTTTGTAAATTGCTTTGACAAAAAAATATTGCAATCTAAAACATATCAATTGGTCTCGTATACTCATTGTGAATACAGAGCATGGAAAAATATAATGAAGTTTTCAAATGAATTAATGATTCACAATTGAGTAAAAAATGTCATTGGACATACAAAAAACAAATTCTACTAAACGACATGAAATTCAATTAAGATTGAATAAGTTTCATCAATATTAAAAGTGTAAAAAAATGACATCACAAATGCGGACTTATAAGTTTTATGATCAACTAAAAATGGAAATTTAAAAACTACTCCAAAAATTCTTTATATTTTGATTCATTGTGTATGATAAAGAGTGGAAAAAGAATGGAAAAATATCTAGTCGTTATCAAATGGTTTCAATTATTATATATTCAACTGTTATCTGCTGCAATAGTAGAAAGCATTAAAAGTAATGAGGTTGTTACACAACTTGGTAATGAAAGACTTGATAGATCGCATTTGATAAATGCAATATCAATGAATATTACAACGACAGGAAAATCTTTATCTAAAATGACAGGTAAACTTATATTAGATTAGAAAAAAAAAAGTCCAAAAAACTTAATACATTATTTTCCTCCTTAAAGATTGCAGTTTGCTATCGAATTGTCTTCGATGCAATGTAAATGGATGCATAAAATGTACAAATTTCTTAATGAAAGATTCACGCCAATGTTTGGAAAAATGTCCAAATAATTACATTAATCAATGGTCAACCAGCTCCGAATTGATGGGACAAATATGTGTTCAATCGACTGTATATAATTCTATACAAACTGTTTTAGTTGGTATTATATGTGGAGCTTTTCTCTGCGTTCTCGTTGTTTTCATATCTGCAATCATTTTAAAAAAGAGACAACAGAAACTCCATAAAAAATTAATAAAAGATCAGTTAATTAATGATGAATTTGACCAATTAGAATTTATTAGGCAATTAGATGACTTGCGACCATACAGTGAATATTTTCTTTTTATGCTAAACGATACTAGAAAGCAAATTAGAAAATCATATCTCTCGGGTGACACAACAGCTGCTGCAAAATTTTATCCAATTATTCGTGATCTTGCAAAAATATTAATTCTTTTGAACAGACAGATTGAAGTGATTGATGGTCCACCACATGATTGGAATCGTCTTCTTCAATGGGCTGACAGAATTTTAGCCCAATATAAATCACAACTACAAACTAAAGAATTTATTGAATTTCTTCAATCATCGTCATCGCATTCATCTTCACGTATATTTAATAATGAAGATACACGTCTGGTTAGTGATCATACAACATTTAAAAGCCTTTTCTACTCAACACCGGTCGTACATAATCGGAAAAAAATTATATTACCATCAATTGAATCTGATTTGACAAAAAACACAAATATTAATCAAAAATTAGCTAAAGATGTAAGCTACAAAAGCACTCAGATAAATTTTGACATTTCGCCAAGAAAATATATTCATACTGAAAATAAACAAGAACTAAGTCAATCCGATCACGTTCATAATGATAAGAACAAAAGTGGAAGTTTAATTTCGTTACAAGATTTTGTCAATGAATCCCATCTTAAAATTGTTGATAAGAAGCACTACCCAAGTAATTTTGAAAGTGACCTAGAACATATAAATTCGTATCAGTCAAAAGGAAGCCTTCAAGTGGTAGATGATGATTTAATAGAATTTAAGCTAGGATTAAGACCACAAGATGAAATAATAACAGAATTATGATTATGATAACGTTTTAAATAAAACTTAAATTAATATTTTTGAAATACAAAAAATTAATTAATTGAATTGAAAACTTATTATTATTATTTTAATGAAATTAAGTTCCATTAAAGTTTATTTCGTTTGTATTTATCTTTTGAACAGTTACACAGCAATATTTCATATTAGGTTTCGGATCAATTTTTAATCGTTTTAATTTGTGTCCAGGGCTTTCTTCTAAATCTTCAATATGATCATATTCAAATTGCACATCATTTTCACGATATTTTTTGATTTTTGATCGACATTGTGTTGATGATTTCCGCTTATTTTTGCGATTGTTCAAAATATATCGTGCTAAAATAAAAAAAAAAAAATAAAGTCCTTTAAGTATTAGTATTTTAAAATTTATTTAAAAATTACAAAAAAAAAAAACAAACAAGAAAGAAGAGAGCTATAAAGCAAAGAATATCTCACCTGTATTTACACTTGAATCTGAATCAAAAAAATCCTCATTTTTCTCTATTCGTGATGACAAGTTCTGTTGGTTCGATGGATTTCCTTGAGACAAATCCTTTTGATGTTGATTATATTCAATATCATGCAAAGTCTCTAACCATTGAATTACTTTATCAAATTTATCAAATTTTTGATTCTCTAGCATCTCAACATTTTTAACAATCAATTTCGTTGTTCTACTTCTGGTCTCCATTAAAAAATACTTATGAGATTCCAAAATTTTAAATATGACATGAAAATTTAACAATTTGTGTTAATGAAACAATTTTTTTTTTACTTTTTGCGTTTTATAAATGAAGAAGAAAAATAAATATACAGAACAGTAGATTACAAATGGATTTCTCGTGAAAAAAATTATAAATAACCGGTCTGTACACCGTAAATCTTTTTTGTATATCTAATAATCTCCAGAATAATTGTGATTTTTGGTGATTTCAAATTTAAAAACTTGTTTAATTAAAATCGTACAAATCCCTTGTTTTTGTGATTATTACTCATATCAATCATTTATACATCACTACTGACGTTGAATAACATAAAAAAATCTACAAAATTTTGGAGACATGCTGTTGTTGCTCATTTACTTTTCTTTTTTCATTCTATTCATTTTAATCAAGAAGAAACACTTGTGTTTTTTTTTTGATCTAATAAGAAAAAAATACAAATATATTAAAAGTTCTCATAAAAAAGCTCCTTATGTTTAGAATGTTTAGAAAATGATAAAGTTTGTTTTTAAATAATGTTAAAATGTGTTATCATAAGAAAATAATAATGATTTGATCTCAATTCTTATCTAAGAATAATTTGAATAAAAAAATATATATATATATATATATCTATATATATGTCAAGAGTACAAGCTGAAAAGAAAAAAAAAAGTTGCGAAAAATAAAGTTTTATAATTGTGAACAGCAAATTAAAAAAAAGAAATCTAATCTTGTTGCTGCTTAAAATTACTTTCTCTAAAATTATCAGTCTCGATTTGTTATAACAAGAAATAATCTCACGTTACTATTATCATCACATGTTTTAAAATAATGAATGCGAAAGCTATTGAATGTCTTTTAGTCACAGCAAATTGTGGCAGTGTTTTTGAAGATGTAAGTAAATCATGTTGAATGCGAAAACGCACAATGTCAAGGTCTCTTTGCCAATTGGTCATACAAATTCAATCAAATTATAGTCAAGTGAAATGTTTTTTTTTTCAAATAATTTACAGCCATCAAGGTTGCTTGAAAATTGGATTGCAGAATTCTTATCACATGTGAAAAAAAGTAAACCAAAATTTATCGGATTACATTTACAAGAAGTTGGTGGAAAGACTTATGAAAAATCTATGGAATATGTAGAACAGTTCATAAAAATTATGTGTGAATCAAACGAACTCAGTGAATTTGCTAAAATACGCATATATCTTGATGAAGATTATAATTCAGCAGAACATTTTACAGTAAGTACATATACAAGTAAATGACTCAATATTACAAATAATATATATATATTTTATTTAAAAAAAAACTTATATGGGTTGCTTTTACTGCTGTCAATTAATTTGCGTCAGCAAACTGGAATGTGTTAATGAAATTATCATTTTCAAATACACTTGTCACATCACTCACCGGAAAAGAAACTATCACAAAATAATTTATATACCACTCACGCATGAGGTTGAGTTTATTTAGAATTACTTATATTTCCGTAATTACATATTTTGACTCGTACGAAAATCATAAAAATTTACTTTAAAAATTGATTATCTATTTAATACTAGGCTATCCGGAGGCACCCGTGGCGCCTCTTATTAGGGTTAAAATTTGATTACTTTTATGTAAATAACTGTAAGACGCAAATAACCATAATGATTTTAAGGTCAATCCTACCACAAACTTCACAACCCCCTCAAACTCGGATTTCTTTAATCCCACAAAAACCATATAAATGGCTTCACAAAACTTCACATGGCTTCACAAACCTCTTCAAACTCGGACTTAATCCCACAAAAATTTTATAAATGTCTTCACAAACCCTCTCAAACTCGGACCCCCTTAATCCCACTAAAACTTTAATTCCCCCGAAACCCACCATGTCTTTTCACAAAGCTTCGCATGGCTTCACAAAACTTCACCTGGCTTCACAAAATTTTATATGGCTTCACAAAATATTCCTGACACCAAATTTCCCGCAAACCCCCTCAAATTCGGACCCTCCTTGCCCCCAATCCTTACCTGACACCCACTTCGTCCCCCCACAACTGCCACCCACCTTGTCAGCACACTTCAAATCATTGGCTTCACACGGCTTCATAAAATATACCTGACACCCACCTTGCCCCCCCTCTTCCAACTGACACCCACCTATAGATTTTAGATTTTTGCATGAGAAGTTAAAATATTTAATAAACGACTGCTGATCAAGGGCTCCTTTGTAATTCAAACGGCAATTCTGGGATCCCATGATTTTATAAATATATTGAAAAATGATGATAGAAATATACATTTATTTTATTTTACATTTTAGGCGCTTGGGAATCTCTATTTTGTTCACAACTCAATAAACTGTTTGAAAATTTGGAATTTTTCTAATCATGAATTTGAGGATGTTGAAGGAAAAACTATTCAAACTGGAAACATAGAATCTGTCGCAACTAAAGAAAAAGCAAAATTTCCTCAACAATTTTTCCCAGAATGCAAATGGAGCAGAAAAGGTTTTTTAAGAACACGATGGAATATTGATGGTTCTACAATAGATTTAATCAATATACACTTATTCCACGATGCCAGTAATTTAGCAGCCTGTGAACCTTTTCCATCAGTCTACTGTAAAAGTAGAAGACGAGCATTAATTCATACATTAGAAAGAATTCATAATGATCAGGAAAATGGTTTAGTTCCTTTCTTTATTTTCGGCGATTTCAACTTCAGATGTGATACAGAAGGTGTCGTTAGAAAGTTAACAACACACTTGACGGAACAAAGAATTCCACATCTGAAAACCGATCATTCAAAAGTTCAATTTCGTGGTGCTGATGGAAGTATTCAGCTGACTGTTGGGAAAAAAGAATTTACCCATATTGATCATAAAATATTTAAAGAAGACTGGTTGAAAAAGTTTGATCGAGAATTGGAGCCATTAGAAGATATTTTATATGAATTTCCTATTAGTTTTTCTCCTACTTATCCTTTTGAGGAAAATCCACAATTGCCAAATCATTATATGACAACTCGGTATTTTAAAATATAATTTAATTAAGAGATTCAATTACAAAGTTTTTGATTTACAGTTGCCCATCATGGTGTGATAGAATATTAATGACAAAGTCAATGAAAAGATTGATTGAAAATGAGGAATATACGGAATATGGGATAATAGGAAAAGACATTTGCATGGGTGACCATAAAGTAAGTTCTTAATAATGATAATGATAGCACTATAAAATAATTTGTTTCTTCTTTTTTTTTAATTATTACAACATATAGCCAGTTTATTTGAAGTTGTATTTAAAAACAAATCAAGGTAAAATCAATAATTGTGATCACGTGCAATCTACAAAAGAAGGTTGCAAACAAAACTTAAATAGTAAAATAAATGCTTGTGAAACGTGCTCAAAGCATATGAATAAAGTCTTTTGCGAATATAGTATGAAACCACTGCCACTTTCATCGTCTAAAATAAATTTAAGTAAGAATAATCATATGCCATTGGTTAGCATAAGTGTAGTTGACGCCGATACTCTAAATACTTGTATGTGTAAGAAAATTAGTGATTTTGAAAATCGAACTAGAAAATATATCAACAATACAGTGAATGAAAAAGTCTGTTCAACATGTGGACTTATTATAAAGAAACAGCCAATGCTCGTTTCAAAACAAGTGATGCTGGGAGATGTTATTGTTAATCGAATAGATAGTCAATTTTTAAGCAGTACATATTCTTCTAGTCCTTCACAAATAAGAAAACTCAATGATCCATATACTCCCGAGAGTATTGAATCACATTCACCACAGCCAGAAATGGAGGAGGAAAATTTTATCAACAATACAATTGAAGAAGATGATAGTATAATATGTGACGTAATTAAGCATAAAACTGACCATATTTGTGGTGATAATATTCTCGAAGATGTTGATAATAGTCTTCAAAATTTTCACAACCTTAATCATTCAGTTTCAGCTAGTCAACTCCAAACACGACTAGAAATTCTAAGACGTGAATCTCAATTAGAATGCAGTTCAAAGAATAGTGGCAGTGGTTTGTCTGACTTAAATAATAAATCTTCATTAAATTCAAAATGTTTGTGTTGTTCTTGTGCTATATTGTAGGATTAGTTTCTTATTATTTTTCATTATTTCAATCACCATGATTAAGTTTAAGCTTTAATATATTGTTTTTAGTTTTTTATTTGTTGTATTTAGTTGTTTTTATATTCAATATTAAATTATTTCTTAAAATTAGTTGTTACTGAAATACGGAATTTTATTAATATTTTGAAGATTTTTATTTACAGATTTTTTTGCCAAATAATGCTTAACCTTTTTTTTATGTAAAAAATGTTAATATGCTTTTATATTTAAAATTGCCTTTATTAATTAATTCAGTTCAAGCTTTAATTTATTCCATCAAATATGAATTGAAATGATTTTATGGCAAGTTTCTAAAATAAATTTCTAGTTTATTTGATTTTTACTGCATTTTTCTAAATCTCGCTAATATCAAATGTTACAAATGCCTCTAATTATTTCGGCAATATAGTAAGTTAACATAAATATTTGTCTCGATTTGTATGACATTAAAAGATGATTTGAATTGCATTTCAAATATCTAGCACAACTTAACTTTTTACTTTTTTATTTTATTTTATTTTTAATATTTTTCTTTATAATTATTGTTTGTTTCAGCTTCAAAACTTGTTTTATGGTTATTCTTTACTCTTTTTTTGGTTCACTTTTATAATAGTACTTACAATTTGCTCACGAAAATACTAAGTTTTGTTTTTTAATATGCTATTTAGATACGATAAGTGAAAATGAAATTTGGAAAGCAAAAATAGATCTGCAAATCTTTGAAACATTAATGTTAGAATGTGATATCAAGAGTTATTCACAGCTCGACTCATCAAAATGTGTAAAGCACTACATCAAGATAATTCAATCAAGTGGAGAGGAAATTAGTAAGGATGAAAAGTTGACAAGTTCTGCCGATGGAGACGAGAGCAATGATTCAATTATAGAGCATTTTTATTTAGAAACAACAGTATGAATTAGCAATCAAAATATATGGTGGTTTGTGAATTTTGTAATCATGGGTGTAGCTAAATGAGATCAAAAGGACTCCCAATCTCGAAAACATTTTTTAATGGAAAAATGTTTTTCTAATATAAATATTACGTAAGTTTGTTTTAAGCTCTAATTCACGTACCGCTAATATTGATAAAAAGTACAAAATTAAGAGTTTGGAAGAGAATTTCGTATCTCATTAATTTTTTTTCTGGCTATGCGACTGCTTATAACAACTGAAAGATAATTTAAGTGAAATGCAAAAAACAAATACAAATCAAAACTTAAAAGGCTTAGTTTGAATTCGAATAGTCTTTTTTGGTTCGTGTTCTTTGTAAATGTGTATCATTAAAAGTTAAAGTTCTAATATTTTATAAACAGTAACCAAATCATAGAAATGGCTGTTAATTAGAGTAAATTTTGTATTTATATAAAAATTTGACACGGATTAGGAAAAAAAGCCATTCTTTAATTATTGATTTACAATTTTTCAGGTCTCTGCTTAATGACTGACTCTTGAGTATGAGTTCTTGATTTCTCAGTCTCGAAACTTTTGGACACTCAAGACCAAAATTTAAACTCAAATATCTTAAGTAAAAAGGTGATCATTTTATACAATTTTTTGATCATATATGATACCTAATATCATATACTTACTTACTTTCTTAGCTGGGCTTACCGGCGTCCTAGGTAAATGCTAAGATCGTTTAAAGACAGCTCTATTTCTCGAAACCTTCTGCTATAGGATCATATACAATGATTTAAAACTTACTTCTAAGTTAGTTGTGATCTAATTTTGGTTTAAAACTTCAAAAAACTCGAAATTATAAATGTGTTTTGTTCCTATGTTCAGATGAGAATTAAAAAGTTTCAAAACTCGTTCAATTTTGATAATTATTAAAGAAAAATGAGGAAAAAACATAGTAAAACAAAAATAGCCAAAATCTAAACGATAATTCTCTTTATTGTTGTTTAAGTTGAGATTTATAAATGCTCATGACTATTTGCTTGATAATATAAAAGAAATTAGTGACCTAATTACATTCCGTACATTCAATTAATCAAATCTTGTAGGAAACTCTCATTTAAAATAATCATCAAAAACTGTGTATTTCATGCGTCAAATTAACTAATTTAGGTTTTGCTACCCAAATAAACTAGCCAGGAAAATTTACAAATTATTTTAGCTATAAAACATAAATTTCAATGTTACCTCTTTAAAATATTAAAAACATGACAATGAAAATGTAGAAAGTCAGTTAAATTTTAAACTCTTTTGAAGTTCTACAAATCTTACCTGTTTTTTTTTCTTTATAGTAGCTTTATAGTAGTATTATTTTTAATACGATCTCAGAAATTGCATCTTTGACCAGATGATAGACCAATAAAAGTAAATTAACAAAATATGATTCAAATTATTGCAATGTTTGAAACTTTTAAGAGATATTTTATCAAAAAAAAAAAACTGAATTCATACTTTATTATTGATGTTTTTAGACTCTTTCAATATAGAGAATTGAAATACATGTAGCTTATTCCTTTAGTTGGGAGATTTAATGTTGGTAATCAAAGATGTATTACTAGAAAACTCCTTCCTGAATTTACCAGATTCGAATATAAAAAGTTAAAAACAAAAACTAAAGAGAGTTATTAACATTGTAATCAAAATTTGTGTATTCAAAGCTTTTTTTATTTTTTTTTAAAACTTAAAATTTTTAGATAAGGTGTTTTTTTTATTAAAATACCATTCACGACACAATATATTTATTGTAAAATAATTATTGTTAATCAACTATGTATCTAAGGATTGTAAAATGTTCCAAAATCTAAATGTTATTTAATGTTGATGTTGTTTACTGTTATTGAAATAAACTCGTTGTTATAAACAAATAAATAAATAAAAGTTATAAAAATATTAAGTTCATTTCTTTTTTAATTGCATTTTCCTATAAGGAAAAGTCACTATTGTCCGCACTTTATGTATGCGGTAAGTTTTATTTAAGTATTTTATGTGTTTGATTAAACTAATTAAAAATAAGATCAAGATCAAGATCTGTGATTCCTGGATAACTGACTGAAAAAATCATCCCATTGAAGACAACCGGATATAAGGTCCCAAGGATTAAAGGTCCTATTAAGCCATAAAAGAAGAAATTTTGTTTTCTATTGTCTGAAAATTGCGCCTAGATAAAAAAAACGACTCTAACAACAACAATCACATTCTGTGTGGTGAGTTGACTTTTAACGTGGTGAATTTTTACACGTGTGAAATTTAAATATTTATACAACGGAAATAATCAAAAAAATTACAACGGAAAAATATATGTGAACGTAATTTTGTAATACTTTGTCGTTACTAATAATTATAAGAGAAAAAGAAAAAATACTATAAAAAAAACTTTTTTAAAAAAACCACGCTTTTATTTCCGATTACAGTGCACTAAAAAGGAGAAAATAATTTTTTTCTAAGCACTCAAATATGATACAAAATTTTATGACTAAAAATAAAAGCATGGGGCGTTTAATTTAAACCTGCTCTAGATTTTCTATAATTTATTCATACTATATTGTAATTACTCATTTTTTGATGCAACTTCTGTAAACGAAAGACCTTTTAACATTTTGAGATCGTTGACAAATTCAAGATTTAGTGACACATGCAAGAACACCCCACGCTTTTATGTTTAGTCATAAAATTTTGTATCATATTTGAGTGCTTAGAAAAAAATTATTTTCTCCTTTTTAGTGCACTGTAATCGGAATTAAAAGCGTGCTTTTTTTAAAAAAGTTTTTTTTATAGTATTTTATTTTCTACTTTTTAGTCGTGTTAAATGTATGAATCGATATTATTTCCAAAATTTGGAGTTTTTGTTTTATTACAACACTGAATTTATCTGACTTAATGAGTAGGTTACAGTTTTAAGATTACAGGAAGTTTTAGAATCCACTTCGTTTCACTTCAATCCGTTCAACTGTTCATAGATTACCATTTTTTAATGGATAATTAGTAAAGAATGTCACAATTCTTCATTCGTTTTAAATTATTGGGTGTAGTGCAAATCGTAGACGTAATTACGTGGAATTATTTGTGCGCAATTCTGCAGAATTATACGGAACATTTTTCATAAAGAAGTTAAGGAATTCTACGGAATTATGCATAATTATGTCGAGTTCAAATAAATTCCGGGGAAAAAACTGAATTGATTAATTTTTGCGATTCGCAAGTTTTATAACATAATTATACGGAATTTAGCGTAATTACGCGGAATTATATAAAATATTATTTTGAGGAATTCCTTTAAAAAAAATTTTAACATTTAAAATTGTTTATTCCATCTAAAGAGTCCGGATCATCTGGCAGAATCTATGGATTTCCATGGACTTTAACAAACGATCCATAGATCATAAAAATCTTTAAAGTACAAGGATTTCCATAAATTAAAACAATTTTGACCCACACATTTGTGGGGGCTAGACATTTGCACCGAAAAATGATAAGTCCACAACAACCACAACCAAACGAAAAATCACAAAGGGACAATAAGGCCACTTATAAGTGGTCTTAATATTTTCACTGCAAGACGATAAGTCCACTTGGATAAAATCATTTGTATAAGAGATTTTTGTCTTCACTTGAAGTTAATAAATTCGCAACATTTTTTGGAATCGTCTTTAATATCTCACTATGAGGCAATAAGATCACTTCAAAACTTGAGTGGATTTATTACCTCACAGTGAGTTGATTTATTGTTTTTTTGTGCAAAACATTCTTAATTTTACAAAAAAATATTGATCAGGTAAAAAAAAAGTTTTAGTATTTTTAATTGTTTTTCATAAAATTGTCGAATTTAAACTATTTTTGATGCAAGTAAATTCACTTTTTACTACTTTTTACTAGAAGTTTTTTTTTATAAAATATAAGTATCAACTTGATTAAGTTTTCCATATAAATGCTATTTAAGATTTTTCAATTTTTGAATTGAGCTGTGTAATTTTCAGCAATTTTACTAGATTTTGTTTCAGCTGTAACAATCTTTTTGCATCAATTTTTCAAAAATTAATTCAAAAAGGAAAAAATCTATACAACTTTCTACTTTCGTGTGAATATTGACTAATTTGTGGTAAATTTGACTTCCAGTGTGAAATTTAGCCTTAAACTTTACTTTTCTTAATCCTCTATCTTAAATAATGTTTAAACTTCAAACAATGTATCAATTAATTGTCTCTTTAACATAATATATATTTTTGTATTTACTCTCTTGGATTTTCTTGACTTTTTGCCGCATGTTTTCCAAATTTAGAAAAATTCAAAAAAAAAAACTTAAAATTTTATAAGTGACCTTATTGTCCCTTCATGATTTTTCATTTTTCGGATATTTTATCCACTAGTCTTATCATTTTTCGGTGCAAATGTCTAGCCCCCACAAATTTGGGGGTCAAAATTGTTTTAATTTATGGAAATCCTTGTACTTTAAATCCATGGAATTCCATGGAAATCCATAGATTCTGCCAGATAATAAGGACTCAGCACTTAAAGATTTAAAATTAAAAAGAATCAATGAATTAAAATTCTTGCAAAGATTAGCTTCAAAAATATATAATAATTAAATTTAGTTAAATTCAAATTAATTGAAGAGGAAAAAAATATAGAAATGTATACTTATCATTAAACACTTTATAAAACAATCATCTCAACTTTTCATTTTTTAAGATAAAAGTTTAAAATATAAAATTTATTTTTCTAAATAATTCCTCGTAATTACACGTAATTCTGTGGAACATTCCATGAAAAATGCGAATCGCAAAAATTAAACGCAACAAAATTGAAAAGTGGAAATATGCGTAATTACGTAGAATTCCATTGTAAAATTCCGTTGCAATAAAATTCTGAGGAATTCCGCTAAAAGTTCCGAGGAATTACGTCTACGATTTGCACTATATTCCAAATTTGTTGTCATGTTTTATTGATTTAAGAACATTCGCACAAATTGGTCTGTCAGTTTGAACAATTTCTGTGAAGTCCTGGCAGATTTGTAGTCAAAAATGTTAAATAGTAGCTACTTTTGCACTAGGTTGCGTCATAAATTCACTGTATCTTTGAAATAATGTTTAACAAATTTTTTGTCATGTTTTATTGATTTAAGATCATTTACACAAATTGCTTTGTCAGTTTGAACAATTTCTGTGAAGTCCTGGCAGATTTGTAGTCAAAAATAATAAAAAGTAGCTACTTTTGCACTAGGTTGCGTCATAAATTCACTGTATCTTTGAAATAATGTTTAACAAATTTTTTGTCATGTTTTATTGATTTAAGATCATTTACACAAATTGCTTTGTCAGTTTGAACAATTTCTGTGAAGTCCTGGCAGATTTGTAGTCAAAAATAATAAAAAGTAGCTACTTTTGCACTAACAAATCTTTCTTTATTTCAAATTTGGAATTATTGTAGTTTAAGTTACATTTCTTTGAGTCTTATTTTGACACCAGCCTGAATATGGCTTTAATTCAACTATATCTTGATTAATTATTAATTTTGATGAATGAGATTTACATATATCATGAAAATGTGGCATAAAAAGTTTAAAAAAAGTTGCCGAGCGAGAAAAAAAAAAAAAAAAAAGGTTTTTTTTTAAGCTTATGAACTACGTTAATAAATTATTTTTGAACTGGCTTGTTCGGTGCTGGTGGGCAGCCAATGAAGCCATACTTCACCATGATTTTAAATGCAGTTCCTTGAGGTGCATCCTTTGGGATCTTTCCGACTTCGTCTACGAAACTGCAGAACTGATTTATTGCTTCTTCAATGTTGGGGATTCTCTTTAGACGTTCTTGAGCTTCTGTGAATTTCTTGAAAAGGCTTTCATTCTTTACTGCTTCGTTGAGTTTCTCTGCATAACTGATATTATTGATCAGTTGTTGCTGATTAATCTCTTCTTTAAATGTTGCTGATGAGTTACTTGCAGCATTCACTGGATGTGAATGAGCAGAAACTTGATGTCGTTTGCTTAACGATGGAAAATTGTTACTGTCCAAAAGACTTGATATCTGTGGCAGCATTTTGAGTTGTGGTTTGGCTCTTGACTTTTCGATTCTTTTGGAATACGAAATGAACGATGGGCACAGTCTATAACTGGCAGCATGATCGCCATTGCAATTAATGCACTTGGCATTTCCATCACGAGTGGATCGTTGACATTGATTTGGTCCGTGAACTTCCGTGCACTTGACGCATCGGAATTTATATCCACAATTTTGAGATGAGTGACCCCAACGTTGGCAGTTGAAGCACTGCGTTGGGCTTTTGTTGCCCTTCTTGATGTTCTCCCACTTGACGATGATGTTGTCGATGTTACGGTGGTTATGATTGAGCACGTTGATGTTCACACTTTCATCTTGAAAATGCACAAGATAAAAGGTGAACTCGGGCTTCTTGACGAGAATTGTCACTTTGACAGCTGAAACCTTGGCTTCTTGAAGTAATCTTAGTACTTCATTCGTTGGTGTTTCGTAAAATCCTTTCAGAACGAATGACTTTTTTTTCTCCGATTTCTCGGAGAAGGTGTGGAATTGAATAGTTTGAGACCGCAGAAGGTTTATTATTGAGGCCTTATCCTCAATAGACTTGACAATTACTTGAGTTGTATTTGATGATGAAATTTTATATGCAGGCATAACCTGCAATTTCAATAGTGAAATTAATTTTCTCACATCCTTGAGACTGCATTGCACAAATATTGGCTTGACT